GTTATCTACTGATGCATGGCTTTATCTACCGGTTATTATTGTGCTGGCCATCTATTTCGTATTTACTATATTGCTGTTATTTTACTATGACTCTATTGATGGTATTGATATATCGTCTCTTGTCGTCTTGTTGAGGAGAGGGTCTCCTGGAAATAGCCTCTCTGCCCTCGTGGTAGGGGTAAGATCTGTGTACACATTACCCTCCCCAGACCCCATTAGTGGGCCGTTGTTGTTGTTGTTGTTGTTGCTCTCTTCTTTCAGTGTCTTTCTTTCTTTTCATCTCGTATGTCTTCAGATTTCCAATCAGCTCATCCATGGTTAGAGTTTGTAAATCTTTAGCTTCAGTGATGGCATTCACCTTACTTTCCCAAGAGCTAGGTAGAACACTGAGAATCTTCCTCGCAAGCTTGTTTCTAGGAATAATTTCTCCAAGTGAATGAAGCTCATTTATGATAGATGTGAATCAAGTGTGCATATCTTGTATAGACTCATCATCTTTCATCCTGAAAAGCTCATACTCAGTGGTGAGCATGTCAATCTTGGACTGTTTAACCTGAGTAGTTCCTTCATGTGTTGTTTGCAATGCTTCCCATATTTCCTTGGCAGATTGATAGGCTGAGATTCTATTGTACTCATCAGGTCCAATACCACATAGCAAGATCTTCTTGGCACGAAAGTTCTTCTCAACAGCTTTTCTGTCAATATCGCCGTATTCTTTTCTGGTTTTCGGCACCATCACTATAGATTCTCCCACCTTCTTCATAGGAACATGTGGACCATCACAAATGACGTCCCACAGCTCGGAGTCTTTTGTCATTATAAAATCATGAATACGAGTCTTCCACCAGCCGTAATACTGACCATTGAATCTAGGAGGTCTGTAGGTTGATTGTCCTTCCTCAAAGTTAGGTGGAGCAGCCATTGAGATCCTTTCTAGGTGTTAACCTTTTAGAAAGAACCTGCTCTGATACCAATTGATAGTTTATATGAGTCCACCAACTGTATAGAGACCTGGTCCTATATCAGTTCCTTCAGTGCTAATTACTTAAACAGAATGTAAATAAGACACGGTATTTTTTACGTGGAAAAATCCGAACTCAAGAGACAAAAACCACGACCTACACTGGTAGGATTTCAACTTCACTAACTTGTAACTACACTATTACAAGCAACTTTGTAATGACTCTATTACAAAGACTTCAATCACTCTAACTTGTAATACACTTATCACAAGCCACTTTGTCACTCACTAGTTACAAAGACTTCAACCTATGACTAACTCTAGTCACAACACAAACTCAGATGGTTTATGATTTTGAGTTTAAGAAAGCAATATAAGAGTTACAATGAAGAACAAACAACAAGTTACAACTCAATTAAGGACACACATAGACTTATAGTGAAAGTGGTCCGCAGTGGAGTTGTCTTCTTGTTCTTGACACACTTGTGACTTCAATGCTTGATCAGATCTTCAATGCTTGAGAGAATATCACTAAATGCTCAAGTGAATATCTTGTTGCCCAAGAATGATGTCTATTCTTGGTTGGTACACACCTCTTCCCAATGGGAAGTGACTGCTGCACTGTAGCGTGCACAGTTTTAGGCAGTCACTTTCTACAGTTGCTTTCCAGCTGTAGAGTTGACTTGTACTTCTGTCAGGGAAACTCCACGGGATCATGTCCCTAAACTGGTTCTTATGAATCCAAAGACACACTACCCAGATCATCTTAAGTCCATTGCTGAATGATTGTACCAGGCATGCATCAGGTCCTTTATCTGGTTCTATACAGAAAATTTGTTAGATCATCAAAACATAAGACTAAGAGACCTTAAGCCCATCACCCATTCTTACTAAGAAACTGAAAGAAGTTATAATAAAATGCGACATGGGCTATTGTTAATTAAGTTGAAAAGTTTGATTATGATCTTTAATTAATTAATTTTTGTAGAAGAAGATAATAGGAAATCAAAAAATATGTATCAATCTTTCTCCCATATTTGTTTCTTTCTATTCTTTTATACAATGGTATTATTTAGGCTTTTATCTAGATTGATACTTAAATTTATAATTTAGCATAAATTTCAATGGAGAGATATTTTCCTAAGGAGTCTTCCAAGCTCCCAAGGCTAAGTTCAACATCTCAAGATTCAGTTAACTTGGAAGAACAGGCAAATGAGCCAGAGCAACATCGTCAAAATGAAAGGGTTGATTTGTGTTCCTTAGAAACTAATCCTGGGGAAAGATTACCTATTCGAAAATATCATCCAAATGATCGTGATGCAATAAGAAGAGAATATATCAAAGAGGTCTTTTTCGACCACGAAATCATAACTTTCCTCAAAGAAATTTTTATGGTAAAATGCGTCGTTTTAATCCTCAATGGTTTGATGAGTACGATTGGTTGGAGTATAGTGTAACAAAAGATGCAGCTTTTTGCTTTTATTGTTATTTGTTTCAAGATGAATGTATCAATCAAGGGGGAGGGATGTATTTTCAAGTATAGTGTTTGCAAGTTGGAATACGAAGAACAGATTTGATATGCATATTGGTGAACCAAGTAGTATTCATAATCAGTCAAGAGTGCTAATGTTTCCTTGAAACAAAAACAATCAATTCAAAGTGCATTTTCTAAACAATCTTATCAACAAAAGATAGAATATCGGACCCGTTTAGAAGTTCTCGTTGATGTGATAAGATATCTTTTGAACCAAGGAGTATTATTTCTGGACATCGTGAAGATGAATCATCTGTTAATAGAGGTAATTTTATTGAACTTCTTAAATAGTATGCTAAATGATGTAAAGATGTTGGTGATGCACTTAAAAGAGCTCCAAAGAATAATCAATTGACTTATCCATACATTCAAAAGGATAATATCACTGCATGTAAAATGGAAACAATTAAATGTATCATTGAGGATTTAAATGGTGATTACTTTCCATCGTAGTTGATGAATCTCGTGATGTATCGTGTAAGGAGAAAATAGCTATTGTTTTGTGCTATGTTGACAGAAGGGGAAGTGTGATGGAGAGGTTTATTGGTATTGTTCATGTTCGCGATACTAGTGCTTCATCCCTAAAGAATGAAATCACGGGTTTACTTGCTCGACATTTTTTAAGTCCATTTCATATACGTGGACAATGTTATGATGGAGCAAGCAATATGCAAGGAGATATAAATGGACTTAAAATCTTGATGCAACGAGAAAGTAAAGGTGCTTATTCAATTAATTTTTTTTCTCATCAACTTCAATTAACTCTTGTTGCAATTTCTAGAAGATGTGATAGAAGTGCAAGAACTCTTATTATTAGTTTTCGATATATTGAATATGGCGGGAGCTTTTTTCAAGCGCAGAGATGAACTTCGTGAGTCTCAAGTAGAAGAAATTGAAGAAACATTACGTAAAAGTGAGCTAGAAACTGGTAGGGTCTTGAATTAAGAACTAGGACTTGCTAGAGCTGGTGATACTCGATGGGTTGTTCTCACAACAAATCATTTAACAATTTTATTCTTATGTTTGGCCCTATCATCGATGTACTTGATGCTATTGTTGTTAAAGCGCGTTTTGAAGAAAAGTGTACGATAAAGGGATATCTTAAAGCATGTTTAACATTTGAGGTAGTCTTTGTAAAATGTCAGCTTTTGAACAAGAGGGAGATGGAACCATAAGTACCAATGCATAATCATGTGTTCTATCTATCTATAAGCTTTGAGGAGGAATTTTGCAAAGGTTCAGTATGATGTTACATACACCCAGGCTCCATAAATATCACAACCCCAGAAGTGTATATAAGAATAATGTTAGGAAGAACGTTATGCGAATTGAGAAGAAAAGAAATTTTACCCCATGCTCATAATACGTTCAAAGCATCATAAAAAAGTTGGCCAAAGGGCTTGTGATGACAGTACATTCAGGATTCCGTGCAACTATAGTAACGAATGTGTCGATGATTTGTCATCTATCGTGCTTATTTAGAGAAATCAGAGTTATGAATAATGTTCAAAACAATGTTATACGGAAGCTTAAAGATGATACGAAAAGCAAGGTATCTATATCTAAGTTTCGGAATGAGTAAGATAAGATTCAAGGCAACGCTATGTTTCAGTTCCAAAAGAGATACATTTAAGGTACCCTATGTTACTTATGTCAGATGTACCCTACTCAAAGTCGATGTATTCATGACACGCCTACGCTCGAGATTTACGCTCTATGTTCATGATCTAAGAGTCAAGATGCTATTCATATTCTACATCATCCATGTTTATGTCCCATCATTCTTATGTTTTACACACCAAGTTGTGCTTATGTCTAATGTTAAATCCGTATTCCAGTTTCGTGTATATATCGTGCTTATGTACCAATGCCTATGTTTTAGCTCTGGTATGTTTCGAGTATGGCGAAGATATTGAGAAAAGAAGTTGAAGGTAAGCTATTTATTAACTTGTATGGCCAAAAGGGGCCACGTAATATTTTTTGCTCATTTTCAGTGTGTTATGCGTTGTGACGCCCTAAGAGGCATATATATGCTTTTTGCTAGCTGACAAGCTTTGAGATAGTTCTATTTACAGAGGTAACTCTGCCGAAACTTTTAGAAAATCCTAGAGTTAGCCTTTTCTTTAGTTATGACTCTCATTATAGGACAAATGATCCCAAGGGGGAGATAATGTAATATCTCGTACTTCCGGGGGTTACGTCATAGACCAAAATTTCAAATAAGCTCGCGCATGGCCCAATTTCAAACACGTATCTCTCCTAGGTATAAAAGTTCATGGGGTTCATTACCTACTCAATTAAAGGAATCCGAGTCTAGTTTCCAACCCATTAAATCGTTTTTCAATCCGACCTCAGTATAAAGCGTTATATGGTTTTTACTACGGACCTGCGCAGTGCCTAAGTGCATGCAGGACACGTGGCACCTCCAAGGTTAAGTCGGCCAAACTTAATGTTTTATAAGCTGAAACTTTGGGAATTCGTTTTAAATATTTCTCTTGGAAAAACTAAGCTTCCCTCTCAAGTTTTTCTTTCTATCATCAAAGATCTTCAAGCAAATCGAAAGGGCCCTTCCGGGAGAATTAAGTGAAGAAATTTATAGGGTTCGGCAGCCGAGATTGAAGCTTATAACAGACGGATCGATTCTTTGTAGTCGAGCTAAAGGTTAAGACTCAAGACGTTCGGAGCAGCAGACCCTCCGGCTAGATATCAATTTCTATAGTCAACTGTAGTTGGTGAACCTCATTGTTATCTAAGGGCGAGTCTAGTTCCTTTTTGGTGTACAATTGTCTGGGTAGGTCAGGGCCCTGTCCCACCATTTTTATAGTTATAGATGATCTTAGAGTTTTCATAAACAAAAGTCACCATGCTATGTCCTCGGTTATATTTTGAGCTCATCTTTACTTAGCTTTTGCAAAGCTTGTGTTTTAAAGAAAAAAGATTTCGCAGTTTTATTATCAGAAATTTTCTTAATGAAAATTACATATTACTCCCTCCGTTTCAAATTAAATGAGGTAGTTTGACTCGGCATGGAGTTTAAGGGAAAAAAAGAAAGACTTTTGAAATTTGTGGTCTTAAAAGCTTAAGGGGTAAAGCTTTGTGCGGCCATGACTTTTATGTGGTTATAAAAGCTTCTCATTAAGGGTAAAATGGGAAAAATGAGGAGTTTAAAGTTGAATTATTTCCAAATTTAGAAATGTGTCATTTATTTTGGAACAGACTAAAAAGGAAAGTACCTCATTTAATATGAAACGGAGGGAGTATATGTTTTCCTTTCAGATGTATTCATAAGTGTTTCAGATTCATAGAGCAGAGTTTGCTTGGTCAAGTTAAGGCACCGATTGTCGGTCCGGCTCACCAAATTTTTGGGGCATGACACTCTTCTTCCTTGTGTTAGTTTAATTAGCCACTCTTAGTTCTAGCATATTATCTCTCTTGATTTGTTATATATGTTCCTCTTGTTCATGTTTGCTTGCCTGTCTTTATATTTAATAAGTTGATTTCATTTGTATCAGCTTTCATTTATTTACTTTAGATTCTCTATTTGTTATAGTTTAGCTTAGTATATCATAGTTTATAGTGGCATTGGTGAATGATAAGGTCATGTTCTTGGGTGGGACGGGAGGTAGAGCGGATGGGAGCGGCAGGGGCAAGGGTGGTAATGGGGGCAAGGGAGCCTCTAGGTTGAGAGTTGGGTCTTGGAACATAAGAATTTTAACGGAACAATTTATAAAGGTAGAGAAGATTCTCGCAAAGAGGAAGATCGATATCGTTTGTGTCTGGGAAACTAAAGCGCGTGATGTAAACGGATTTAAGTTGTGGTACTCGGGAGGCTTGAGGGGTAAGAATGGAGTAGGCATTTTGGTAGGGGGAACTCATGGAACAAGTGGTAGAGGTTGGGAGGGTGAGCAATAGGTTTATGCTTATTAAGCTAGTTATTAGAGGGCTTTCATTTAATGTAGTAAGTGAAAAGGCACCTCAACGGGGCTTGTATTTGGTGGTAAAAAGGCATTTCTGGGATGGTTTGGACGAGTTCGTTCTTAGTATTCCACACACCGAAAAGTTATTCATAGGAGAAAATTTCAACGACCACATCGGAGCGAGCACAATGGGGTATGACGATGCGCATGGGGGTTTTGATTTTTGATGTTTGGCTATAAATGTATATTTTTAGTGCATTGATCACCTTACATTTTAGTGTTTTAATGATTGATTGTATGACGTTTGAGCTTAATTGTGTCGTTTTTATGTGTAGGATCATTGAAGGATAAAAACGCGTGAAGGTTGCACCCAAGGATGTCAAAGATACACAAAAAGAGCACGAAAAGGCAAAAATTGGACAAGGCCCAGAACCAGGCGCCACGCCAGGCAATGCCTAGTCCCAAGCGAGATGCACCGTGCAACAGCCTAGGCGAGGCGAGCTCCAGGACACGCTACAGACTTTCCCACTCAGTGCATTGAACATTTTCTACTTTATTTTGGACTTGGGGATTCCGGCCCGAACCTATAAATACCGCCTAAACGTGATTAGTGGTGGTCAATTTTGAGGGCGGCAAAGGCATAGAAACACAAACGGAGCACAAAATTCATCAATTCTTCCATCTTTCATCTAGTATTCATAGCTTTTATGTTTAAAAATAATATACTAATTATTGTCATGAACATGAGTGGCTAAGAACCTCATTATTCTAGGGTTATGGGTTGTACTTGACTATTGTTGTTTGACGGTTGATTATTTTGCTTGAATTATCATATGAGCTTGTTTATTCAATCTTGCACTTAATTATTATGTTGCGTAGCTAATAATATGATATTATCTACGAATTTATAGTTGAACTCGAAAGTGGGAACTATAGATTGCATATAAGATTGAGTAGAGTAAGTTCATGAATCCGGGCATCGAAAAATAGATTCGCGATTAGGATAGACATATTCTAGTTGCCTTACTTGGTTATTTTAGCAGGAAATATACATGCATTCTTGTTAATTCTGATTCTATAGACATGTAGTATTAGGTTGACTTGAATAGACGAGCGAAGCGTTGAAAGAACTTTGTGAGCATAATAAACTCTGTTAACCAAAAAATTAGATAGATTAAGCAGTTGAATCAACCGGAAAAAACGCAATAGGAGAGACATTAATCCCATAACCCCGAAATACCCCATCATATTGAATTCACTCCCATGTATTTATTTGCTCTACTTGCGATCTTATTCTCTTATTTGCTTATTAGTTTCGTAATAATTTAGTTAGTAAAAACCACAATCATCTTCCTCAAAATCTCTTGAGCAAATAACTCGTAACTAGTTTAGCTAAGGCAGTAGTTGATCATAAATCCCTATCGGAACGATAATTTCTTATCACTTTATTACTTGTCGACTGCGTATATTTGCGTGTGCGTTTGGGCCCAACAATTGTAGAGATAGAAAAGACAGAGGAACTTCGCTATTAGATTTCGCCAAAGCTTTTTATTTGCTGATAGCTAACTAGAGCTTTCTGAAGAAGGATGAGCCTTGATCCCCTTCCAAAGTACGGCGGCCAAAACCCAGATTGATTACCTACTCTTTACGAAGGGCGATAGAGGTTTATGCATGGATTGCAAGGTTATTCCGAGTGAAAATCTCACAAGTCAGCATAAGCTCTTGGTAATGGACTTTGACATTAAGAGAAAGAGGAAAATGAGGGTTGTGCATGATCAACCTAAGATCAAGTGGGGAGCCTTAACTAAGGACAAATCCCAGGAGTTGGGGGAAAGGTTGATGGCAATGGGCGAGTAGTGGGGACGCGAGTTGTAGGTGAACTAGGACAGCGGATTGCATTAGGAAAGCAGCTAGAGCGGTACTAGGGGTCTTGAAAGGTTACTCTGATAGACACAGAGGAGAGTGATGGTGGAATGAAGAGGTCCAAAGGAAAGTGGAAGTAAAGAAGGCAACATATCTAAAGTTGGTGGAGAGCAAGACAAGAAGGATAAGAGGACGAACATGGAACATGGATAGGTATAAGACAATAAAGAAGGAGGCGAAGTTAGTGATCACGATGGCGAACAACAACGTTTGAACGCTTGTATTCAAAACTTATGGAGAAATGTGGGGATAAAAATTCATACAGGCTAGTCAAGGCGAGGGAGAGGAAGGCCCGTGACCTCCGGACCAAGTGAAGTGCATCAATGATGAAGAAGGCAAAGTATTGGTGGAAGAGGCACATATTAGACAAAGATGACAGACATACTTCCATAAACTTTTGAATGAAGAGAAAGACATGAATATTATGCTGGGTGATTCGGAGCACTCCGAGAGTCGTCGAGATTTTGGGTATTGTAGGCGTATTAAGGTTACGAAGGTCGAATGAGCTTTGTGTAAGATGAGCAGGTGAAGAGTTACTGGGCCAAACGAGATCCCTGTGGAGTTTTTTAAGAGTGTGGGAAGGACAAGTTTGGAGTGACCTACTGGATTGTTCAATGTCATATATTACGACGGCAAAAATGCCCACAGAATGGAGGTAGAGTACAACTATTATGTTGTAGAAGAACAAGGGTAATATTCAGAATTGCAACAACTAGAGGGGTATTAAGCCATACTATAAAAGTTTGTAGGAAAAGCGTATCTATTTTCGAGAACCAGTCTTGATTCATGCCGGGGCGATCGACAACAGAAGCCATTCTCCTTGTAAGGATATTGGTAGAGCGGTATAGGGAGAGGAAAGGTACTTGCATATGGTGTTTATTGACCTAGAAAAAACTTACGAAAAAATCCCAGGGGAGGTTATATGGAGATGTTTGGAGGCAAGAGGCATTCCTATAGCCTACACTAGAGCGATCAAAGATATGTATGATGGAGCTAAGACTTGGGTAAGGACAGCAGGAGGAGACTAGGGACACTTTTCGGTACTGAAGGGGTTGCTCCAGGGATCAACTCTTAGTCCATTTTTATTTGCATTGGTGATGGATGAATTGAAATGACACATTCAAGGGGAGATGACGTAGTGAATATTATTTGCAAATGATATAATTATGATTGAAGATATGTAAGACGGAGTTAACGCTAGGCTGGAGTTTTGACGACAGAATCTAGAGTCTAAATGTTTCAAGTTGAGTAGGACTAAAATAAAATACTTGGAGTGTAAGTTCGGTAACGTTACTCATAAGGCGAAAGTGGAAGTGAGGCTTGATACGCAAGTCATCCCCAAGAGAGAAAGTTTCAAGTATTATGTGTCAATAATTTAAGGTAATGGGGAGATTGGTGAGGATGACATACATTGTATTGGAGCGAGATGGATGAAATTGAGGCTCGCATCTGGTGTCCTATGTGATAAGAAGGTGACACCGAGGCTTAAAGGTAAGTCCTACAGAGTGGTTGTTAGACCGATTATGTTGCATGGCGCGGAATATTGGCCAATCAAGAACTCTCAATGACGGAAATGAGGATGTTGAGATGGATGTGTTGGCATATTAGGAGATATATGATCAAGAATGAAGATATTCAAGAAAAGATGCAGGAAGGGAGGTGTTGAGATGGTTCGGACAAGTGAAGAGGAGAGGTCAAGATGCCCCAGTGAGGAGGGGGATGGCTATGATTGGTCTTAAGAGAGATAGAGGCAGACCGAAGAAGCATTGGGGAGAGATGATTTGGCAGAACATGTCATATCTCCAACTTACCAAGGATATGACCTTTAATAGGAGGGTACAGAGGTCGAGGAGAGGGTAGGAGGATAATGGATAGTCGAGCATTCTTCTTTTCTATACCAGTAGAATTAGTACATATTCTACTATTCTTATTTTTAGATTTCCATTACTACAAGCTGTTTCTTCTTTTCGGTCATCTTATTATTATGTTGTTGTTCCTGCTGCTTCTTTTTATATCTTCTAAATTACCGTATTTTTTTGTCATTATTGTTGTGCTTATGTTTTTCTTGAGCCGGGAAGCTATTGAAAACCTCTCTGCTTCTACAACGATAGGTATAAGATCTACATACATACTAGTCACTACCCTCCTCAGACCTTATTATATGGGATTATACCGGGTATGCTGTTGTTATTTGTTACTTTCTTTCTTCGTTTCCTAAAAACCAATTTGATCGTGTGGGTCCATTCTCGTCAAAGTGCATTCCACGAGAGTATAGACACATTATACTGTTAATGTGGACCTTCATCACCATTCACCACTTCGTCCTAATCTTCCATCTTGAAAATATAATTAAGAAATCAAACTATTTCATCGTCAATAGTTTTTAAGTATTTAGATGAGATATTTCCGTGATTTAACATGTACAGCAGGCAATACTATTATACAACTTGTGTTAACTTTAAGCCCATTGCACACTCAATAGTAACATATGATCTTTTCTTTTAGCTGAAAACATAAAATTTCCATACAAAGAGTAACTAATATCCCCACAAAGCGCTTTTCACGTTAAAAGCACAAAATCTTGAAATCTTTAGTTTATCTTTATCCTTTGCAAGAAGTGAGAAATTAATCAATGTGATTTAGCCTGCTAGAGAAGTTACTACTCAGACCTTAAAGTAGGACCAGCAATACAAATATCTAGTGACTGATTTTAACACAAATTTTTAGAGAGGAATTCTATATTTTAGGTCAATATTATAAACATAAAAAATGAAAAAGAGTGAGTGATATTTTCATTGAAATATACTCGTAAATACAAAGTGAATACGGACAACAGGTACTTTCCGCGGGCACCACTATAAAGGTACCGGTGTTGGGGGACCCGAGAAACTCCATCGTTCCCAAACAGAATATCTGGGAAAAGACCCTACCCCGCTGCTGTTCCCCAAATGGATTTGGATATTCCTGTTTACTACCACATCGATCGTGAACATTTTTACTTTCACGAAAGGAACATTGTCAACAGGTTATTCTCTTTCTAAATTTGCTTTGATCATATGCCAAATTATGTTACCATTTTATAATATTGTTGTTAGTATATACCCATTTAAGTTTACAGACTTGCTGAATGTGTTTATATCTTATCTTTTAACAATACCCATTTGTGTTAAGCTAGTTCTGTTCATAATTTTATTTTTTAACGATACCCATTTGTGCTAAGCTAGTTCTGTTCATAATTTTGATTTGTACAATCCCTTTGGGTTAACCATAATTGTGTTTTTACCCATCTACGTTAACAAGAAAATGCAAAATGTGTTTATATCTTGTTTTTTAACAATACCCATTTGTATTTAAGCTAGATCCGTTTATAATCTTGATATTTACAATCCCTTTTTGTTACCATAATTGTGTTTTTACCCATCTACGTTAACAAGCAAAATGCAAAATGAGTTTATATCTTGTTTTTTTAGCGATACCCATAAGCTAGATCCGTTTATAATCTTGATTTTTACAATCCCTTTTTGTTACCATTTCATATTTATTTATTTGTACAAATGGGTACCCATTTTTGCTTCAGTTCAAGATCTGTTGTTGAATATTCAAACATTTGTGCTTACAGGATAGACAAGTTTCTGGCTAATGTCACTGTTCCAGGCAACTTCATCATCAAGGGAACGCTGCAAAAATTCCACTGTAATAGCATAATCAGAGCTTTCCTAATTGTAAATGTTAGGGAGTTTTTAACTAACATATATATATATATATATATTATGCATTTTCAGACAACTATACTACTGCAACGGGTATGGAACTTAACACTGGAAAGGATATGGTGAACCGGGTTGATCAGTGGAGGCATGAACTTGCTGACAACACTAAGTACCTGAAAATGGGGTTTGACATCCGTGATCAGTCTCAAACGATCTTTCCAGAGAAGATGATTCAAATTCTGCTAGTGCTTAAGGTTGCCTATCCACTAGAACAGTTCAGGTATAAATCAATTTAATGCAATCAAACAGTTGACCAAAAAGAAGATGCAAAAAGAAAAACCAAAATTTTGTTCCTGGGAATTTTTTCAAGGGCAAATGTGATAGATAGGTTGTTTACACATGCTATATAGTTCTGCTTTCATGCATACCTGCCATTCACATTCATGAAGAGCCGCCTCTTCAGCAACCTGTTTAGTCATCTTTTCCCGCATTTAGACCAGCATTGGTAAGATTTTCCATTTAGAGGTCTGCAAAACAGCCAAGACAAACCCCAACAGCCAAAACAGACCCAAACTTTACACGTACTCCATCTAAGACCGGTTTCTTCTTCCTCTTGTTGCACGTTTCTGCTTTATTTCTTTAGAATTCTTTGGTTCCTTCTTTGCTCTAACTCAAACAGCAATTCCTCTTATTAGCCCCCAGCAGGATACACTAATAAAACTTAAATGGACTGAGTTCCAGAGGATTTTTGAAGAAGACATGAAGGGAGCGGAAGAATCCGTAAGTATCTGCTTTTTACGCTTTGAGTAATATTGACTTACTCTGAATCTGACAACTTCTTTCAAACTTTGTTTGTAGTGGACTAGTAGAGATGAAGATAAAAGACTGATCAAAGCCCTGGTTGAAGCAGTTGAAGAGGTAAAACTCTCTCAACGGAGATTTTAAAAAAACAATAACAGAGACAAAAGGCATACTAACATTTGAATTTTGCAGGAGAGGAAACATAATGACATATACATGTACACCCCAAACAGCACAAGCAACGTGTAAGCTTTCTTAACACTTCCAAGTACTTTTGAAAAACAATGAATCTATGGACAACTGTTTCACTGAAAAACTTTTGGAAAAGAATTGTTTTTTCAATTGGATGTTTTCCAGAACTTTAAAAAAAAAATTAGTCGCAACACTATACTTTGCTAACTACCAACATTGAACTCTCAAGTTATCAATGACACCTCTATTATGCACAGAGTGTAACAGTATCCGAAAGCACCATGTCCTGGACTAACAACTCTAACATTTTTTATCTTTCAGCTCGGGCAAACATTTCTTTTTCCACGACCATTCAGATAGAAGAATCTTCATGCTGGTCTACGAAAAGAAGATGTAAGATGGTTCAATGTACTTCAATGATATTATTTTTAGTTAGATCAAAAACCTTGTTCTATCCCTTAAGGTTTATATCCTATTCTTAATGTTCTACTACCTGCATAACTTATTCTTCTTTGTACTGAAATTCTAGACTCTGTTATTGCCTTTTGTACTTTATCAAATTTCATATATAATTCTTGAGGTAAGGTTATTGCTCTTTGTCCTTAATTGGTTCGTATTCTAAATTAGAACTAAATATAACATCTTAAGGAAGAAGTGGATGTTTAAAGAGCACAAGGATTCTGCATGGAATAATGCAAGGTAGTGTAGGTTTATGGTATAAAGAATTACCACAAACAGTAAAGGAGGAACGTTACCAATTAGCAGAAAAAAGAACAGTAACAGATTTATTGACTACATTGAAAAATACCAGAAGATTTGAAGTTTGAGGACGAGACTTGGATAGTGAAGAAAAAGGACAATATCTCTCTCCATAGGTGGCAGAAATAACATCTCCCTGTGGCAGGTTGACACTAATTAACAGCATCTTGGCCAGCATCCCAGCTTACTCATGCCCCTTTTCCCTACTACCTACAAGGGCTTTAAAGCAGCTGGGCTAAATAAGGAGAATTTCTGTTTGGGAAGGATGTGGCACTCAACACAAGCTCCATTTGGTTAAATATTCTAATGTAATCCAAAAAAAAAGACACTATTCTTTTTTTAATACGAAGGAAACTATTCTTTGTTGTTCTGCAGTTTTCTTTTTAAGATTAAAATAACATATGCTATGATTTTATTGTATTCTTGTATAAGCACAGAGTCATATAGTTTTCTACTAGGTCCACAATATACTACTCTGAGTATTTCTATCTATGTCAATGGAGATTCATCATATTTTATGTCCTATCGAATATTTTTGGTAAATCCAGAGACCCAGTAAAGGTCCAAAAGGAAGAAAAAAGAAACTTCTGGAAGGAGCACGAGGAAAATTTCTTGAAGGAGCAAAAGGAAAATTTCTTGAAGGAGCAAGGCAACTCATCAGGTACAAGCGGAAAGCAAAGACAAGCAGCAGATGAGGAAAACCAACCTTAATGGAGAAAACTGATTTTGATTTTTTCATACCTATTGACAGAAATTAGAAAACAGCTTAAACTTTCAGCTTTATCATGACCCATAAGCATAATATGGTCATTGAGTTGTATGTTTAGTATGTTCAAACTTATAGCATTAGAAAGTCAAGGGAAATAATATTCTCATTATATCAGATATGCACCAATTTTCAAAGAAGAAAATCTGAGTTTCTCAACTACAACAAGATACAATAAAAATCTGTTATTGTTTATGCTATAGTAAGAAAAGTTAAGTGTAATAATCTTCATGAGCACAAAGAACAACAAAGAAAGAAATTCAGATCTTATCAATACTAGAAATGGTTTTCAAAGAAAGTAAAACCGATGCTTAGGAAAATAGCATAGCACTTAGAAGTCACAACAGAAATCCAAAAAGAAAAACACAAAAACAGAGAATAATCTTACAGAAAATTGAAGAAAAAATCAATCTGATAGGCTAATCAAGCAAAATCCCAGAATTGCCAAAGTACCGATTTCGTAAAAGAAGATTGCCAAAAAAAGGATTTTTTTTGCAAAAGAACCAATCTTCAACAAAACAGATCTTAAATATATGTTCTTGATTACGTTAGAATAATGAAAAGCTAAGTGTAAGAAAAGAAATTCAGATCTTGTCAATACTAGAGAAGGTTTTCAAAGAAAACAAAGCAGATACTCGGGAAAATAGCATAGAACTAGAATTACTGAATAGATCTTAAAAGTCAAAATCCAAATAAGATTAACAAAAACAGATAACAATCAGAACCCAAACTCAACTTGTTTTCACCTTTCTGAAACAGATCTTATAGTAGGATTCAAGAAAAGGTTCAATTGAAGCACGGCTAATTAAGCCAAAATCCACAATTATCAAAGAACCGATCTTTATTGCCAGGGAATGGATTTTTGCTAAATAACATTAAAGAACGGATCTTTTTTGCGAAAGTGTCAAAGAACCATTCTTCAACAAGGTATGTTGGGAGGTAGGTTAAAGTTGGGATTTTTAGGCGTTAACGATATAGGTGGAGTCGGACCGGATCGAGAGTCTCTTGGGCCGGGTTAATTAGTTATTGGGTTGGTCCCTATCTATTTTAGAGAAATTTTCATAAAACACTATCTTTTAGTAGTAATTAGTCATCTATAGATACCATTTGCTATATTACGGATTATAGATATCTTGTATGTGGTTATAAGATGTATTTGATGTATTTAAGCTATTGTATTCATGAATACGGTAGCAAAAATAGGCGTGAATCAAGGAAGTCCAACTAATCAGTTGTTGTATTCGAGTGTATTCGACTGTATTCATGGAGTGAAACATAGGATTACAGCTGGAAGATTATTGTATTTGACTGTATTCACGGTGTGAAATAAGGGATTACACTGTTTTTAAACGGAAAGTGAATCAATTAACATAATAGACTCCTAATATAATCAACATACTCAATTATAACACATAAATTTTGTATTTTCAGTTACAAAAAGATTCTCAACCGAAAATACCCCAAAACCATAGCAATCTTCAGAGAAATTATATAATACATCTGAATACATAAATTATATTAATTAAAAAAAACTTATGAATACATCCATGGCATATAGCGATATAGTGAATACAATAAAATACATAGAATACAGCGGGATACAATGAATACAGCGGGATACATTGAATTACAATGCGAAAAAAAGACAGTGAATACAATAAAATACATGGAATACAGCGAGATACATTGAATTGCGATGAAAAAAAGACAATGAAATACATGAAAATACATTGAAATATATTAACAGAAAATCAAGTTGCTCAGCCCCAAACTCCATCGTCTTTATTCAAGAACAAACCCTAATTTCCGGCGAATTCGTCGTTCACCGGAAGCCGGTAGTGAGAAACCAACCGGATTAAAAGAGCTAAGGAACATCTTCTCCTTTCTCAAAACCAGCAGATGTATATCAGTAAGTTCTTCTCTTTTCTCAAAACCAGCAGATGTATATCCAGATGAATCATCAGTAAGTTCTCCTCCTTTCTCAAAACCAGCAGATGTATATCCAGGAACATCTTCCTCTAATATTTTCGTGGCCGAAAACAAGAGAGGAAGATTATTTTCCATTAATCCAACATTACCTCTATTAAATTCTCATAGTAATTAATCAATCTTGTCGGCTGCTGCTGCTGTTGGTTACAAACCAATCAAAAATTTGGCAGATTGCAATTCGTTTGAAGAATGACTGGTTCATTGAAAATTTGATGAACTAATTAAGAGAATAGAGAGAGAAAGAAAATAGTGTAACTAATTAGCGTATTTAGTGGCTTAGTACGAGGAGGCAACCAAAAATAAAAAATTTGCTATAAATCTTAAAAGGTATCTATAGAATATAATTTTTTAAATGGTATTTATTTAAAATAAATAAGGTGTTAATCTTTGCTATAGGAGGTAAAAAATCCTCTATTTTACTAAAGAAAAAGACACTAAGGCCTCATTTGTTTTTTTAAGACTAGTTTTAGTATACGTACGTCGCACGTGTGCATCACGTTAATCAATATAAACGTATACAAATTATTAAAAAAATAGCAATGGAGGTAAAACTAAGTATGTTTGAATGATGAAAATAAATATTAGTACATTGTTATAATATATAGTTAAATTCAACATTTTCTGAATGAATTTTAGTGTAATTAGTTCTATAGTATTTATCAGTATAATATTTTATTATATAAGACACAGATATTCTATGTTGTTTTATCTCATCTAGCATCTCTTTGTAAACTCTCATAATGTCATCATACAAAAAAAAAATTGTTCTTCATTCAAAGTTAATCAAAATTATAGACAAGCGAAATGAACCTCTTCTTGTGTAAAAAAGCTGTCTGGATTCATATTGATTTAAGTCTAAATTTCCTTCTTTGCACGTTCAACCAATACCAAATAAAAGTTAATACTATCCTAAACTCACTCCGAATCCACTCTGCTAATAACAATTTTAAAATTTCAAGAGTTCACAATGTTGAGGTTAAGTTTTCAAAATTATCGGGGGGGGGAATTTATAGTTATTTCAAGAGTTCCATATGCATTAGTTTATCTTAATAGTATGGGTGTGGTTTAATTTATTTCTAAATTAACACCATATTAGTTCAGACTTCTAGAATTTTATAGTTAAGATTATATCAAAACTCTTAAAAATTTAGTAGGAAAAAGGCGAACATGCATTACTGATGGATATCCCATATTTTTAAATAATCAATTATTGGTACTTAGGAGAAAAACAATACTATTATATACCTTAGAGGCTAAGAATTAAAAAAAAATTTAATGGCCACGCACTATACTCCAAAAGGACTAAATATGAGGAAAATAATTACAATGACTATTTTTTCTAGTGTGAAATTTATTTTTAAAGGGTAAAAAAGACAAACAAAATTGGAGCTGCTCCAAATCTTCACCTAAAATTAATCGGTTAAAATTATTTTGATTTTTCTACTACAAATCTTTTGTACTACTATATAGTTAAAATAGAAAGAATTTAATATATAAATATAAATAAATAATCAAATAAATAAATAGATATTAAATCTTAAGACCAACAAATAGTTTCATTGGGAAGGACAATAAATTAAGAGGCAAAATTGTTCTTGATTAAAGTACAAAGACAAAGGACACGAAATTACACAACTCTTTGTCGTCTAAAGACCTCTAATTTTATTTTATTTTCCTATTTAAAGTATATAATAACTGCATAACACGTGTAGAATGTTGCTCAAATTAACTAATAAGATATCAGAATATGATGCCCTAATATATTGAGGCTTTGTACTTAGTTTAAATAAGGAATTAATTAATGACAAATATTTAGCTGATTTTGAAGACATAAATATTAGGAAAATAAGTGAATGACTATTTTATCCAATGTGAACTCTATTTTAAAAGGGTAAAAAAGGCGAACGACATTTCGCTAAGGGTTTTCGTGCTTTTAATATAGTATAGATTAAGACGTATGAATCTGAATACACATATGAATATCAAGATGTGTATTAAGATTAAGACATCTAAATCTGAATACAAATCTGAATATATTAAGATGAATATTAAGATCTGAATACTAAATAATTTAGACTGTTTGATTTTAACATTTGAAGGTATAAAATTTATCTTTATTTGAAAATAAATAAACATAAAATTCAAATGAAATACTAACTAATCTAATGTTCTATCAATAAAATATATAATTTTTTAAAATATGATAGTTGTTGGTGGTGATGGCTAACGGGTGAATGCCGACTAGAGACGGTGGTAGTTTTGGTTGATGATGGTGGTTCATGCTAGTAGCTAGTGGTGATTGGTAGTGGTGGCGATTATGATTGAGGATGGTGGTGATAGTTAATACTGGCAAGTAGTGGTGGTAGTAGTTGTGACTGAGGAAGGTGGTGGGTGGTGGTGGTAGGTTATAATGACGGGCAGTGCTAGCTGTGGTTGTTGATGGTGATGCAGTGGTCAGTTGAGGTGGATGAGTGTTGATTGTGCGTGAGAATAATGGTGGTGGGAGTGGTGGGGATAATGGGTGGTGATGGTCGATAATGGTGGCGGCTATGATTGAGGATGATGGTGGCGTGGAGGTGGTGGTGGAGTGGTGGTGGTTTAGTATGGTGGTGGTGGTGGCGGCATGGTGGTAGTCGATAATGACAAGCGGTGGCGGCAATTAATAATGAATATGTAATAGCATCTTAATGAAATTAAGTCTCTGTTATAGATCTTAATCATACAAACCTATTCAGACCCATTAAATGGTTGTGAAGTAAAAAAAATACTTATATGATTGAGATCTGAATAATTAAGATTCATACTTTAAAAACAAACGCATTTAATGTTTGAGATCTAAATAATTAAGATTCATACCTGCATTAAGTGCAAATGAATGAGACCTAAGAGCCCTTTTTAGAAAGGGAAAAGGTCCAAATTTGCCCTCTACTTTAGTAAATTGTCCACGTTTATCCCTAGTTCTACTATCCATTCAAATATGTCCCTACCGTTAATAAAGTAGACAAAAATATCCTCAATCCTAACAGATGTCCACTGTGGCAAGGGACCCCTCAATTAAAAATGCCTTGTAATTATCTTTTTCCTTCCAATTTATTCTTTTTCCTTTTTTCTTTTTTCTCTCTCATTTTCCCTACCATCAAAATTCTTTAACTTTCTGTCTCTCGCACTCCACCAATAGTTAGTAATAAAATTTTGCCGGAAAAAATAGTGTCGGCGTCGCTGCAAATTATTGACATATCTGGGGTGTTGACATAAACACTACTTCAAGTCCATATCAACCATAAACACCTACCAGACCTGCACCTTCTCAATACACATATCTGCTACCTCTTTTTCACCTTCTCAATACACCAAAAATATTCCTTTTGAAGATTGTATTAGTCGGATACCCCCTCTCCATTTTTTTAACTTTTTATTTTTTGTCTTTTTCGCTTTTTTTATTTATTTTGTTGTTATTTTTCACTTTTATCATGACTCAAGCTCATGACACGCATTGTCCGCTTTGGACCTAGCCACATAGATTTGTCTTTCGGGCTATGTCGGATCAAGTCCCAAAAACGTGCGTACCATGTGAACTTGTGTAATGCCTTATAAAGCTCTTGACTTTCCTCTCCCATTCTGATATGGGATTCGCCTAAGGTGACATGTGCACACATTCTTCAAAAGCTTTTCAGTATAAAGCCTGGCAGCCATGCTCGACCCGTCCTCATTATTCTGTCTAGCGTCATGGGCATCACATTT